CCCGCATCCTCGCCAACACCTGTTGTTGGTGGTGTTGCTGATGATGGCTATTCTAACAGGGGTGAAGTGGAATCTTAGCGTGGTTTTAATTTGCATTTCCTTTATTGCTAGAGATGGTGAGCATTTTTTCATGTGTTTTTTGGCCATTTGAATTTCTTCTTTTGAGAAAGTTCTGTTTAGTTCACTTGCCCATTTCTTTATTGGTTCATTAGTTTTGGGAGAATTTAGTTTTTTAAGTTCCCTATATATTCTGGTTATCAGTCCTTTGTCTGATGTATAGTTGGCAAATATTTTCCCCCACTCTGTGGGTGTTCTCTTCAGTTTAGAGACCATTTCTTTTGATGAACAGAAGCTTTTTAGTTTTATGAGGTCCCATTTATCTATGCTATCTCTTAGTTGCTGGCTGCTGGGGTTTCAATGAGAAAGTTCTTACCTATACCTACTAACTCCAGAGTATTTCCTACTCTTTCCTGTATCAACTTTAGGGTTTGGGGTCTTTGATCCTCCTTAAGTTCTCTTCCTTCTTTGTTGGCTGTGTCATCTCAAATTTCTTGGCTGATTCTTCTTCAACATTCTAGAAGCTGGGTACTGAATGCTCAGACAGCCTCTCTTTTCCCCACCCCTATTGTGTTCTCATCGAGATTTCACTTCTCATCCTTTCTTATGACTTTAAATCCCATATATATGCTGATGATTCCAATATCTCTAGTCCAGGCTTCTCTTCTGAAGTCTAGATTTCTATATTCACTTCTTTCCTCTTTATCTCTATTCAAATCTCTTCACATTGTTTCCACTGCTCTTATCTTGGATTGGATCACCACTACTTTTCACCTAGATTAGTGCCACAATTTCCTAATGGATCCTTTCATTTCTGCTTTTCCCTACAAACTTTCCTCCCCAAATCATCATTTTTCTTTCAACATAGCAGACAGAGTGATTCAGATTATGGCACTCCTCTGCCTCAAACCTCTTAATAGCTTTCTATCTCCCTTAAAGTAAAATACAGTGGAGTTTAAGATCTTAGCTCCTAGAACATCTGACCTATTTTCTTCTCCTTGCTGGCTCCATGTACATTGGTCTTTGAACTGATTTCAAATGTCAAGCATACTCCTTTTTCTGGGTCTCTACCCTCCTGTTATGTTCTTTCTTTAATATCCTTATGGCTTGCTTCAAGTTTCAAGTTTTTCCTCCAATGTCACCATCTCATTAAGGACTTCCATGAATGTTGAAATATCAGATTACCTCCATTATATGCTGGCACTTCCTATCTTCCTGTGCTTAGTTTTTCATCAAAGCATACATCATCACTTGACATAGTATACATTTTACTTATTTATTAGTTTGTATCATTTTTATCTTGACCCACAGCAATGCAAGTTCCATAATGGCAGGACCAATAAGTATTTGTTGAATGAAGAAGGAAGAAAAGGGCGAGGAAGTTTTCTTGTGTTAGAACTGGTCTTCCTGAATCTTAGCTTTCATTTATTTACCTTCCTCAGATTTAAGAACGAGAGACACCAGTCTAAAGAATTCCAAAATGATCTGAAAAAAAATCAAGGCGCAATGAGTCCTTGAAGGAAGAAAGCAGGAAGTAGAGTCTTATGATAGATAAAAGGAAAATGTGAGGCAGCTGTAATGAGAAAGACAGGTAGATAGAAAAGGGCACCTCTGAGAAAAAAGAGAAAACTCTGGATATTCTTTTTGAATAATGGTTTCATTTCAACTATAAAGACTTCCATATATACCTTGGGGACTTCTGAGTTCATTCAGATCTCTTGTTATACTCCAATCACCTGGATTCCTAGGTGGCTTTGGTGACTTACTTTTAGAACCACACACTGCAGCTCAAGTTCAGAAGTTCTGTAACAGAAGGAACTAAAAAACCACACTTAGAAACTCCTTCCACATTTTAGTTAATCTATCATGATTTTCCTGGACAAAGCATCTGTTTGAGTCTGAAAATGAACAATGGGGTCAAAAGGGTCAAAACCACAGAACTTAAGAGATCATTACCATAGAGGAAAGGACTCTAGTAACTGTGATAGTGTTACATTGTTGCCTTGATTCTTTGCTCTCTCAAGATTTATCCTCCTACAGATATTAGTTAAGAGTACAGGTGTATATAAAAGAGGCAAACAACAATGCCACGAGCAGAAGAATCAACACAAATGGAATCACTCTAGAGCCCTCATTTCTTGAGTTCAAAAAGGTATTTTCCACTAGCCAGGAAGGCTATGGAAGTTAAAAAAAAAACAACAAAAAACCCCACAAGCACTATGCAACTTCTTGTTAAAATAAGTTTTCTGACATGTGGCAACTAGTGATTAATTACCATCTTAGAAAATAAGATAACATTCCTATAGAGATTTGCTGGAAATACAGATGCTGTCCATGCTTGATTACACACTGCTTAAGGAATGCTAGGGCTTATTGCTATAGTCTATTATTTCCGGCTATTTTGGTATTGCTGTTAAATTTATTTTATATAGCTTCAATTGTGGTAGAATTGATGGAACGCATTTCACAAAACCTGTCCCTACCAAAAACAAGGGGAAAAAGATAAGGTGATAAAAAGTATGTCTGTGTAAGAGCAAGAGAAAATGAGAAAGAAAGATACTATGAATGGTAGGGATACATGGTTACTTCTTGTAAACTTTCTGCTTTAAGAGAAAGAACTGCAAGGGAGATGCTCTGGGTTTTTTTGTTTGTTTGTTTTTTTGTGAGCCTATAAGAAAACTGACCATGTCAGTGGTTAAAACCTTCAGGGCATGAAAAATAAACTAAACTGCCTTTGTCCAAACCCTTCATCAACACCAAAATAAGCCTTGATTTGACACCTATTTATTCATTCATTCATTCAACACACAATAGTGATCACTTATTCTGGTCCAGGCAATGACAAAATTGACAGTTTGTCCTCTTGGAGCTTACCATCTAGCAAGAAGATGGCTTCTGAACCAGGATGAGAAGGGCATAATCCTCCAGTGCTATATGTTTATTCCAGCTACTTCCTTTAATAGTCCATTTAAGAATAATGAGTAATAGAAGAAGTACCTTTCTCAAGTGCTCACATTCAGCTTCTACTTACTTCCTTGGATACAATTCACAAACCCAAGTATGAAGGGAATGACTTGTACATCCTGCAGAAATGCTTCATTGGAATATGGCCCATTGATGCCAACCTCAGCACTTTCTAGTCAGCATTTCACAATTCAGATGACAGGATTTTTTAGTGCAGACAGGCCCCATATGGTCTGCCAAGAACTTTGTTAATTTACTTATTTCAGCTAAATAAAACAAATCATTTAAAAAAGGATGATTGAATTTAGGAATTATATTCCCCAGAGAATTAGTGATGGTTCTTTGTATCCCTCAAGCCCTCATGTTCTTAACTTCCCCTTGTCAATGTTATTATGAATAGACTAATTCAATAATGAGATCGTATCCCATGAGAGCGGCCAAATAAATTCAGCATTCAGTCACACCTGGTTTCCCTAATCTGAGCAAGGAAAGCTTTCCACCAAATTTAGCCTAAAACAGAGACTTTAATGAAAACACACACGCACACGCACATGGTTTCCTGCAAACAGGAGGAAAAAAAACAGGGAGAAAGAAAAGCAGAGGAACACTGTTGCAATGCAACAGAGTAAGAGATTGGGGAAGAAAGATTAAAAATGAACATTTACTGGTCATTTTCAAAACAGAGATTATAACATGTATGTGTTTATAATTGTTAAATTTACATAGTATTTTATAATTGCATTAAATACTTCAAAAATTGTTTTAGTTTTTCATGAACTTCTTCTAAAGGAATCAAAAAATGAAATGAAAAGACACAAAAAGTAACAAATAGACAGGAGCATTCTGTACTATCCAAAACAAATGACTTCCTAGCCAAAAAATCTTTTGGAAAATGAAGATGTTTACGAAATAATCCACCTGGGTATAAAGAGCAACAGAGGATGGGGGGTGGGTACCATACTTATTATCCATCCTCTTCAAAATAATTTAAGTTTCTATTGAAGCACCAAATTTGATTATTGAAGATATAAATGTTGAGATTGAATGACGAGAAAACAAAATAACTCTTAAGACTGAAAAAGTATCTTATATGAAAAACACTAAAACTTGACGTCATCAAACCTAGAAAGGACAGTGATGAGTAGCTATTCACCTCCATGGAGACAAGAGGAGATGGGTTTCAATTGGAACAAAAGTGAACAGGGACAGCATAGGTTCATGTAAAACTAAGTCCAATACTTGTTGTTTACCATGAGAAAAACAAATAGAAAATACAAATGATATGGTTCCTTTATACCACAGAGTATTGTTCGGGCATTGAAAGTAATGTTTTTAAGAAATATTAATGAATGTTGGAAAAATTATGATTTCAAAGAATACTATTGATATGAGAAAGCAAGAATAAAATTACATGATGTAGCTCCAATTTTGTAAAAAGAGAAATCATATGCAAGTCTCTGTGCAAAAAGTCACATATATAACATGTGCACCAAAAGCCAGTATGAAGTATACCAAACATCCTCACCTCTAGATCAAAGGTTTATAAGCAGGTTTATATTCTTCTTTTTATATTACCTTACATATTTTATGCAAGGAGTGTATTATTTTATACTCAAAAAAGTTATTAAAGCTTTCTAGTAAGAACTTAGGTTTGGCAGTGGGAGAAGCTACCTTTCAAAGGGATGTTAGACTTATAGAATTTTGTAGGATTACATTCCCTATGATCTAAGAACATTTACTGGTCATTTTCTCCTCCCTCCTTCCCTCCCTCCCTCCCTTCTTTCCTCCCTCCCTCCCTTCTTTCCTCCTTCCCTCCCTTCTTTCCTCCTTCCCTCCCTTCTTTCCTCCTTCCCTCCTTTCTTTCCTCCCTCCCTCCCTTCCTTTTCTTTCAAATAAATTTTTTAAGAAGCAAGAATGCATTTAAAAAGAACCAGCAATGAGCTTTGGTACAGGAAACTGAGCCCAGCATCCCTTTATACCTTGCAAAGTCCAGGTCTGCCTCCCGTGACATGGTGATGTTGGTCAAGTTCTGCTGAAGGACAAAAATGTTCCTACACATTTTCTTGATGCCGGACTCACTGATACGCCTGAAGTACTGAGCACCATTAATAAGGATGCAGGAGATGAGGTGTCCCAGGCCTGAGGGTCAGCACAGCACAGGAGAAGAAAAGAGAAGACAGATTAGTGGCAACTGGCAGAAACTCGCACACAGGACTGCTCTCTTCTAATCCTCCACAAATTTAAATGATCAAAGAAAACATGTCTACTGGTTACATCTGATAAATCTTACAGTAATTTAAGAGTCTTAGTAGTTACAAGTGGGAGGACTTTATTTCTAAAGTATGATTCAGAACAAGGTAAAGTACATATAGGTTACTTTTTTCTAAAGTTAGATTTAATCGTAAATATTTTAAATTTAAATTTACTGTAAATTCTAAATAGTAAACATTTCTTCCTTCATTTTTTCTTTATTATTGCAGAGTTGGAAGGACTGTTTTTTTTTCAGAACTGTACTTCCACTCCAACTAGTCACAAGCAGTTTACAATTATTATTTCCTTCTTCTGGAGACAGAGTTCCTTCATGGCAACTACAGCTCAGATCAGAGTACAGGGCACATCTTCAGGTTCACTGTCTTCAAAATGAGTTTCCTCTGAACTGAGATAAAAGTAGGAAGGGTCTAGGAAGATACATTCTCTTGCTTCAGCTACACTCATTCAACATTGCCGCAAGACCACAAACATGTCTGTGCTACTAATTAAAGTGCAGAAAGAGGATTTACTCAAAGAAAAATGAAACACAATCATGGATTGTACATTTAAAGCTATATCACATCACTTATTTATGTTAAAAAATCTACCTAGGTCAAGTTGCGGCATACTTCTCTTGAACCGATAATTACATCAAAATCAGGTATAGCTTTATTTTGCCATGGAATAATGTGGTCTGCCCACACGTAGACAATGAAAACGTGCATCATTTGTAGAGCATAAGAAATAATAACTTGTAACAAATATATTAAAGAAATAAATTTTATCGTATGAACAAAATGAATGTTGATACACAGGACTGGAAGAGCCACAGTCAAGAGCTGTGCTGTGAGGAAAAAGTAACTTGTCAGATGGCCACTGAAACATCAATCTGCAGAGGATTTCAGATGTCTCAAATTCATAGTGCCATCAGGCTATCTAATGCTAATCCTTTCATTGTTTGTAATTTTTGGTGAATATCTCTTACACAATACATCTCTATTCTTATGACTTCATTTTTATAATTTAATGGGAAAATAGGGCTTGGAGGATCCAAATTTGCTGTAATACAACTGTCTCATAAAGCAAGCACTGGCCGTGCAATGACACTTTCTCATCTTCAGTTTGTCACAATCTTTAGATAACGTACCTTCTTAATTGTCCTAAATGATACTGGTTTAATTCTATGTGAGAACACAAATACTTTTAGTACCCAGGTCTATGCTTAAATAAATCAAAATAAGAAAACACAGTTAAAAATCCTAACAGAGTCTCCTACAGTTTGGATAACTGTCTTCCAAAAGTTTATGTGATGAAAGCTTGCAATACTGGAAAGTGGTAGAACTTTTAGGAGATGGGATGTAGTGGTAGGTTCTTAGGTCATTGTGGATATGCCCTCAAAGAGGATTGTGAGATCCCAGCCTCTTCCTCTTCCTCTTTTGCTTCTTGTTCGTAAGTTGAGCATTTTACTCTGCCACTGGCTACTTGCCATTACTATCCAGCATTCCAGACAGAGGTGTAAACACAATGGGTCTACCCAATCATGGAGTCTCTAAGACAGTGAGCCCAAATAAACCTTTTCTCAGAAGAAAAGAATGATAGAGAGTAAATAATATAGAGATACATACATCTGTAGGAACAAGACACAAAGAAATGCACTGAAAACTGTTGAACAATACAGGATAAGGTGAAAAGGGTAAGGAAGAGTAGTAGAGGAGGTTAGACTGATTTAAAGTACAATATATTTACAAGCAAAATACTAAGAAAAACTCCACTGAACAATGAACAGACACTTAAACAATGCAGGACATGAATGTAAAACAGGTCATGTTAAGGGGAGGGTAATAGCAGGATGGGGAGGACAAATGAAGAGTGAATATGATGGAGGTAATTTCTATACATGTATGAAGAGTGAACACTGAAATCTATTGAAACCTATTGAAGTCAAACCAATTGAGTGGGGGAAGAGGGAGAATAATGGAGGAGATGACCCAAACAAGGGTGCAATAAATGTATATAGGGAAATGTCACAATGAAATTCCCTATATAACTATCATATAAAAATAAAATTATTTAAAAAAAGACAAAAAAGACCGTTTCTTTTTGCAAGTTAATTATCTCACTATTTTATTATAGGGTCAGGTTCCTACAGGTATAATTCAGCCTAGAAAATTATTTGTATGAGACCATATTTTTAAAAAATTTGAAGGCAAATGTCTTTAGATGGTACTGCCTTTCACATCCTTCTTTGCCTATCTGCTCCCTAAGGCAATGGTGGATTTAGCCTTCTGAAAAATTGCTGTTAATCATAGGCTTTGTTCTTTTTAGATGAGAATGCGTGACAGAAAATTTTCCCTTCCAGTGATAATGTTAGCAATGAAAGGTGTTTCGGGGTTCTCATCTCATTGTGTGTTTTCTGTTTTGGAAATGAACTTATCTTGAGTTAATTTGTGTCCAGTCCACATATTTATTTACCCTAGTCTCATGAGTGGCATGTCAGGTAGGCAGCCATCTGCATTGTCTTGGATTAAATCTCCCTATCAACCAGAAGCAGATGGCAGCTATGATCTCTACCTAGACATGCACGGAGAGGCTAGGTATTGTAGCTCTAATCCAAAGAAATTAGCAAATGACTTTTTTTTTTTTAAACAAGTTTTGAAACTTCAATAAACCTTAACCCTTCCTTCTTCCCAGGCTCCCAGAGACAGAAGCAGGGTCTGACCTTCAAAGATGTACTGGAATTTGTGCTGCTGAAGGCTGACGCTCATAGCCTCTTCAATGGCGCTAATGTCCTTGTTGAGCTTGACCACCAGAGGGTCATAATCCATGCTTTCTACATTGGCAACAATGGCATAGTTCCCCTCCTTGGCAAGAGGAATGAGATAGTGGAAACAGTGAACTCTGAAAAAGAGAGATAGGGACAGTGGTTAACAATAAACTTTCCAGTGAAGATAATGATCTTTATAATAGAGCACCAAAATATTTGAAGCAGCAATGGCCTCATAATTTTTGTTTACTCCCCTGCCAACCTATTTTAACCAGAATGTCATCTTAGTTATTATTCAGAACTACTGAGTGATCTGGAGTGAGTGGGCTTCTATGATCTTTGCTTGCTTAATACGTACACTCTTGGTAAGGAATACATGAGTTCTAAAGGCCTTTCAATGCCAGAAGTGTATGCATAGTGTGAAAGCATCATATTTCTGAACAGAATGAAAATGAGAGGTAGAGTTCATATATCCTCAAAATACAGGGTTGGGTGGGAAACTACTGGTTTGGATTCCTAGTTCCAATACTTGCTAGCTATATGACTTTAGGCAAGTCCCTTTATTTCTCTATGATTCAATTTCCTTATCTGTGATATGGGGATGATAAGAGCTACTGATTATCATGTGGAACTACTATATATAAAGTGTATTGCACAGAGCCTGGCACAAAGGAAGTGCACAGTATAAGTGTCGGCTATCATCATTAGTATTACATTTATTACTTAAGGAAATCACTTACTGAACATCTATGAAATTGTTAGACACTGTGCTATCCCTGGGAATATAAGACAGTTTGTACCCTAAAAGACTCCATAGCTTAGTGGAGCAGCCTAAGGAAAAAAATGACCAAAAGAGGACAGCATCTCACACAAAGCCCACGGAAACTGTCCATGGGTGTCAGGAAAGGTGCATGACAGGAGGAGATACTTGAGTCTCAAGAACGCATATGAATGAGTTTGAAGAAGGAGGGCATTTCTGGGTGAAATAGTCTGAGTCGGTTTGGTCATGAATATTTCTTAGGTTCTTTTTGGTTGGTATTAGCATCTGCCAAAAATGTCTGAGGTCAGTGAGGATTGGCTACACTTTCACAGTTCGGGCTGTAGTAAAGGCAAGTTGCAGTCCAAATTCTATTACATGAACAGGCATTTATTTAAAAATAAAAAAAACCAAAACCAAAAAATAAAAACCCTCAAACCAACACTATGCATTGGAAGGCTCAGTTCAGTCTATTTTGTAAGCTCAGTGAAGTCTGAACTCTGTTGCTTTAGGAGATCTTCTGGGATTCACTGGAGTTGACATGAGGTTAATCCAGAGTCAGGGTTCTACTATCCAGAGAGTCAGCACCAGATAACAAGAAATGTTCCTAGAGAAAGGACTGCGAAAGCCTTGAGCATTACCCCCACTGATATACCCACAGGCTTTGCCTACCATCATTCATTCTTTTTTTTTTCTTTAAAGTCACATTTTGTGGTTAATGATTTACAGTAAAATTTTCTCTTTTTAGTATACAGTCACAATTGCCTATGGCTGTATAACCACCACCGTAATCAAATTATAGAACATGACTATCATCCCCCAAATTCCCCACGTGTCCCTTTGCTGCTGACATCTATTCACTCAATGAGTCTTTGGCAACCCCGGATCTATGCTCTGTACCTATAGTTTTGTCAGATTGTCATATAAATGGAATCATATAGTATATAGCCTTTTGAGTTTGATTCTTTCACTTTTGCATAAAGCCTTTGGGATTCACCTACATTGTTGCTCATTCCTTTTTATTGCTGAGTAGCCTTCCACTGAATGGTAGAAGGTTGATCCATTTATCTACCTACCAGTGGATACTGAGATTACTTCAAACTTAGAAATAATGAATAAGTTATGGATAAAGCTACTTCATATACAGGCTTTTGTGTAAATTTGCAATATCATTTCTCTTGTGTAATGAAGTGGGATTGCTGGATCGCATGGTAAGGGTATGGTGAACTTTGTAAGAAACTGACAAACTGCTGTCCAAAGGAGCTGTGTCATTTTGCTTTCCTACTAGTAATACACAGGAGTTACAGTTGCTCTGCACCCTTACCAGCAGTGTGCTAGTTAAAAAAAAAAATAGCCATTATCATAGCTGTATTGTGGTTTTAATTTGCTCTTATTTTTATTGATTGATTGATTGCAGTATTAGGGATAAAACTCAGGGCCATGCACTAGCAAGCATTCTATCACTTGAGCCGCATACCCAGTCCTTTTGCTTTTAGTTTCTTTTTCAGAGAGGGTCTCATGCTAACTTTGCCTAGGTTGGCCTCTCAACTTGATCCTCCTGAGTGAACTTGATCCTCCTGAGTAACTGGAATGTCAGACATGTGCCACCGTGGATGGCTAATTTGTATTTTTTTAATGACTAATGTTGAGCATTTTTCACGTGCTTATTTTCCATCTATCCATCTTTGGGGACAGAGCAGGTCACATCACTTGCCCAACTTTTAAAAACTGTGTTGTTTGTTTTCTTATTAAGTTTTGAGGGTTCTTTTGTATTCTGGATATAAGCTCATTAGGAAATATAAATTTTAAAAATATATTTTCCTAGTTCTGCATTATCTTTTCACCTTAACAATGTCTTTCAAAGAATGATTTTTAATTTTGATGAAGTTCAGCTTATCATTTTTTTCTCTTATGGATGGTGCTTTTGGCATCATATTTAAGAAAGTTTTTTTTGTTGTTGTTGTGGTACTGGGGTTTGAACTCAAGGTCTTTACCTTGAGCCGCTCCACCAGCCCTTTTTTTGTGAAGGGTTTTTTGAGATAGGGTCTCGTGAACTGTTTGCCCAGGCTGGCTTTGAACTGAGATCCTCCTGATCTCTGTCTCCTGAGTAGCTAGGACTACAGCCATGAGTCACCAGCACCCGGCAAGAGAGTTTTGCCTAAACAAAGTCACAAAACTTTTCTCTAATATTTTCTTCTAGATGTTTTAGTTTTTTTTGTTTGTTTTTGTTTTTTGGTGGTGCTAAGAATCAAACCCAGGGCTTTGTACATGCTAGGCACACATTCTACCACCAAGCTATACCACCATCTTCTATCCATTTTGACATGAGTTTGTATAGGATATATGATATTCTTATAAACTGTTCATTCAAGGGAATCCAAATAGCTTGACTGCTGTTCATTTTCACTGATAAGTGTTCATCTTAAGAGCTGCTAATTACTAATGACTAATTTCACCAATAAAAACTCATTTGAACATTCACGTGCTAATTGGCAAGGGATAGTTTTGATCAAGATGTCGGTAATGGCACTGTTCACAGCCTCCTCTCAAAGGTGACTTCTCTGATATAATAGAAGGCGACCAACCTTGGAGTGGGATTCATTTCTAGGGCAAATGATTGCTGCTGCACAGAAATGAAAATGAGTAGCACTTAGCTGAAGAGAAAGCATCTATGTTAAAGTATTTTAAAAGTAAATTACAGTCAGTATAACCTCAGACAATGGGAGACCATGTGAGTAGGCATGAAGATGGTTCTGAACAATGGTGAGTGGTGGGTTTCTTTCAGCTACACGCAGATTACATGACAAAAGCATGAGGTGACTTGGGAAGATGGGCAGGAGCATGTCATCATAGGCTGTAGAGGCCATCTAAGGAATCTTAGATGCTAGAAGCCATAAGGAATCTTACTAGAAGTTTAAGAAGTAAAATGATATAATCAGACATGAACTTTTGGAAGACTAATTTGGTACAATGTAAGAGTAGAGTGATGGTAGAGAATGGATCCAGCTGCAAATAGAATGGTGAGGAAATTCCTATGCACTGGAGGTAAACGCCTATGAGATCCTAAAGCTAGTGGCAGAGAGGAAGGATAATCACTATTTAGGTATAACTTCCTCTTCCCAAATGATTACAAGTGAAAAGAAATTAAAACAGTCATCAATGAATATCCAATTCAGATAAAAGTTTCACTTTTTTTTTTAAATTCTGGCTTGTTGTTGCTGACCTTAACCTGACTTTGGCATTAAGGTTTTTGCAAACATTGCTGATTGCACAGCAGGATGGTTGATTTTCAAAAACTGCACACTTAGGATCCCAACAGTGACAGGGAGCTGCTGTTGAACCCACATCAAGCCCTCCTGATGGCAAGGGAAATCAGCTGATAAAGGTGACATTTTTGGCATCTTGGACTCAAATGGCAACTTAATTTTCTTCTTCTAAAAGTTCAAATATGAAAAAAAAAAAAACCTCAACAAGTTTTAATGGTCTCACCACGTCTTTCATATCTTGGGGATGTCATCTGCCTTATGCCTCAAACTGTATAAAGGGGCTGCCTTGTGGTTGAATGTGACCTACAATAACACAGGTAAAATGTTAAATGCTCTTTGGATGGGTTCTTCAACACAGAACCTGCTGGATATGAGAACATTTTTTTGCTTTGAAATTTAACAATATTAAAGAAAAACAGGGGCTATGGATAGAAGGATATTTTTGGGACTAAGACAAATTTTGGCATTTGAAGTTGTTCTGGATTTCTTTCTGGCTGGTATAATCCATTAATATTTTTATGTGAATTCTGTTGTTTTGTTCTTCTTGTCTCTCTATCTTTCTCTCTTGGCAGTACTAGGGCTTGAACTCAGGGCCTTCCATTTGCTAGGCAGGAGCTCTACCACTTGAGGCACGCAGCCAACTCTTCTGACTTTACTTTTCAGATACGGTCTCATACTTTTGCTCACAGCTGGCCTCGGACCACAGTCCTCTTACCTCTACCTCCCTCTAGATGGGGTCACATGTGTATACCACCATACCTGACTTGGCTTGAGACAGGGTCTTCTAGCTTTTTTTTGCCTGGGCTGACCTCCAACTGCAATCCTCCTATCTCTACCTCCCACATAGCTGAGATTACAAGGACATCCCACTGAGTCTTCATCACACCAGATTTTGGAAACAAGGCCTTAGTTCTAATTCTCTTTCACAGTAGGATGGGAACAAAACAAACTTCAATTAACTATCACAAAGATAATGTTGGTCACACATTCTCTGTACCTCATAGATATGTGCAGTAGACTTCTAAGTGGACCGCTATGTGAAAACACAACCTATAAACCAATTCATTTTTATTAAGAGCAACAGGTTTTGTTTGGGGAACTAGCACTCGGTTTATCTGGATTTGGTTTTAAGTAAGCTAATTCTAAGAATCAATCACATTTTCACTAACCCCCTACTATGCAACAGGAAAGGTTCAGATTCTGGGGTCATTCATAACAAACAAGGCACACTTGGAGGAGCTGGTGGTCTCGTCCACAGCTTGGGTCCCCACATTACTTGCAGTTGTCTCGATCCTAGCACTGTTGACGCTACAGTGTGATGATTAGTTATGAGGTCATTTTGTATCATCCCTGTGTGAGCCCATTGTTAATGTGACAGGACAGGACAACGCATATCAACACTTACAGTATAAGTTACACATGGAGTGAGTCGCTAGTTTTATGAACCAAACTTTAAAAGGAATAAATATCACACAGAATATATTCATAAGAAAGCAATCTGAATGTTAAAATCATGTGAAAATTTAATTTAGAAAAAATAAACATGTTTAATGTTGTCAATCAAAGTCAAGAAAAGGTAATTCTGCATCCAAGAATCTAAAATTCAGTATCTTTTGTTATTCAGTTTGAAATTATGTTTTTCTGTTTTTAGACTAATGTGGAGGAAGATAAGGCAATGGGTATTACAGCACTGTATGGTTCCTTGTAAAGTTAATAAATAATGACTAAAACATGTTCAACATTATAAAAAGAGTATTGCCAAGATGTACAAAAATAAAAAGGACACAACAGAGGTTAAGGGTTTAAAAGATTTTACTTGAAAACGTGTTGAAAATATCCCAGTTGGAATTAACTATACCACAAGTAGGTAATTCTGAATGTAGAACATGTCTCACCACTACACAATCAATAACAAATTCCAGGAGTTGTGAGAGTAATTAATTTGATGATTCCTTGTTTTTCTTTGCAACCCAGGTAAGAGATGTTTCAGAATATTACTAGGTATTTTTTCTCTTCTGCCCTTTGAATTTATCTACTCATAGAAAAATGCCTGATTTATTTTACTACCAGCTTGAAAATAAAGAGAAAACAAATCTAAAAATTAACATAAAACAAATCAGAAAACATATAGCATAGCCTTTATTTCTAGACAGGTTAAAGTAAGAAATAAAATCAGTAATAATTCTGAGTAAAACAGATTCCAAACCTGCAATGCTACTTCTTTTGTTCTACTCAGAAGGTGCTTATGAGCAATAAAGAAGTAACTCATTGGGCAAAGTGAAGAAGAATGTAAAAGGCAAGTGACACAAAGAAGTGGCATTAACACACTGGAAAGCTGTCCAGGTTCTAACTGCACTCTCAATATATTCCAAAGATTTAACTATGAACCAAAGTGTGTTTACATGTTTAAAACCTAGGTCTAGTAAAGACTTCAGGTGAAAACAAAATATTCTATCAACTTTAATAATGATAGAAAGTAATACAGAAGAAAATGTATTGCTATACCATGCACTTTGTTACTCTGCTTGTCCTAAAGTTACAGAAGGATATATCCAAATGTCCACTTGACATTGCTATCCAGATGTTTAGTAAGCATCTCAAACTGAACATACCAGAAATGGAGCTCTTGATTTCCACCCCTTTCCTCACCCTTCTTCTCCTACAATGTCTCACCTCAGTTAATGGCCCTGGCTCAGGCCGCAAACTGGTGATTTTCCTTGAGTTCTTTCTCTCACTTCTGCCAGCCCCTATATCCAACCCAATCTGTCAACAAGTTTTGTCTGCTCTATCTTTAGTACATATCCCAAGTCCAACACTTTTCCTACCTCTGCCTCTGTCACTATGATGCTCATAACTGGTCTCAACTGGTCACCCTACTGTCATTCATAATCCTTTCTGTAATCCTTTTCCATATAACAGGCAGAGCAAACTTTTTAAAATGTTAATTAGTTAACATCTCTCCCCTGCTTCTTATGGCTTCCAATGAACCATTAAGAACCTCCCCATGGTTTCTGAATGCACTTAGGAGAAATCTGAACTACTTACTCGTTCTGTAAGACCCTCCAATGTGTAGGTGTCATGATCCCACATTACCAACCTCCAGCCTGTCTCTTGTACCTTATTCTAGTCCTTACCATCTGCCCTGTTCATCAGGCTACAAACACATAAGATTCCTTTCTGTTTCTCAAAACTGCCAAGCTTAATCTTGTCTTAGAACTTTGTGGGTATTACTGTCTCTGTCTGAAACTCTCTTCTCCTAGGTTTTATGTAGATGCCTCTTTCTTGCCACATTTCCTTTGACTATGTAAAAAATAAAAGGTGCTTGGTGGCTCATACCTGCAACCTAGCTCATGAGACCCTGTCTTGAAAACCCCATCACAAAAAAAAGGGCAAGCAGAGTGGCTCAAGTGGTAACAGCAATATCTAACAAGTGTAAGGTCCTAAATTCAAAGCTCAGTACTGCCAAAAAAAGGATTAAAAATGAAACAAAAAAATCCTGCCCTCCTGCCAAAAATCCAAAACAAAAAAAAAAAAAAAACTCCCTCCATAAGCCCCATACACCCTGCACTATCTAGTATGTACTGGCTACTAAGCACTTTGAACTGAGACTTGTCCAACTTATGCTATAAATGCAAAATAATACAGATTCTAAAGGCTTAGTACAAAAACACATAAAATATCTCATTAATCATTTTTATGTTAATTACACGTTAAAATGATATACTGCATATACTGGGTTAAATAAATCATATTATTATCATTCATTTTACCTTTTTCCCTCTACTTTTTTCAAATGTGTCTACAGGGTTGGTTAGTCTCAAATGTTTAGGACCAAAAGCTTTTTGGGTTTTGGAATATTTGTATGGACTTTACTGAGTAAAAGCATCCATAATCTGAAAATCCAAAATCTGAAAGGTTCCAAAACCTGAGGAGCATTTTTGAGTTTGGGATTTTTGGGTTAGGGATGCCCAGCTGTACTAGAAAATTTAAAATGATTCCTGTGGTTTCTATTTACAGTTCACCTTATCTTTCTATTGAATAGCACTGATTGGTATGATTGTTATTTTATTGCTTTAGTAGTACTTAACTGAAATTATCTTTCTTGTCTAGTAGTTGGAAGACAAAAGACTACCACTAGAAGATAGTTTTATGAGAGCAGGAACCTTGAATGTCATGTTCATTGCTGTATTCCAATTTTTAGAATACTGACTGGCACAAAGAAGGCACTCAATAAATATTTTTTGAATAAATGAATGGACAATTGAAAACTTTCTAGTCTTTCTTCCTCTCATCTTCATCTGTATAATAATAGAGGCTACCAAAGCTAATCAGAGTGTTCCACACTTCAGGGGAAAGACAAAGAGGCCAAGAATATGGCATCTTTGAAATAATTTTTTTGCATTATTGTTTAATTTAATGTTTTCATTTGGGTTTTAAGTTCCTTGAAGGTGGGGATTGTGGTTCTTTCTTCTGTAATTCCCTTCTTGACTTTTTTTACCCAAGTAAAAATATCAGCCAGGTACTGATGGTTCTTGGCTGTAATCCTAGCTATTTGAGAGCTGAGATCAGGATTGTGGTTTGAAGCTAGCTTAGGCAAATAGTTCACAAGATCCCATCTCCAAAATAACGAGAGCAAAATTGACTGGAGGTGTGGGTCAAATTGTAGAGCACCTGCTTTGCAAGTGTGAAGCCCTAAGTTCAAACCCCAGTTCCCTACTTGCCCCTAAAAATCAATGACAACAAAGTCACCATAATTGAAAGCTACATTTTGAGTATTTACTGTGTGGTGGGCATTGTGATAATTATTTGCAATTTTATTTATAACATCTCTGTAAGTTAGGCATTACCATTTCCATTTTTAAGAAGAGGAAACTGAGGTTTTGTAAAGTTAATTAGCTAGCTAGTTGGTATGGGCATTCAAATCCATGTTTTTGTATTTTTTCTTTTTGGTGGCATTGGGGTTTGAACTCAGGGCATCATATTTGCTAGGCAGGCACTCTTACCACTTGAACCACTCCACCAACCTCCAAATCCAGGTGCTTCTGACTTCATTGGCTACACCAACTCTGAATTACCACATTCACAATATAACACGTGCTCAAATTCTTTTACAGTGACTGAATAATGCTAAAAATCATATTCACCATAATAAGGACAACAGCAACAATAAGAACCAAAAATAAGCAGGTGATTTCTGAATCACAGGACACTGACATCACAAATCCTATGCTTGGTTGGGTTATACCTCACTTCCAGGTGCAAAACCAGCAAGCAGCGGTCAGCCATATCCTGGAAGGACTTGGCAAGTTCACTCAGCGTCTGCATGATCTGCTCGGACACTGGAGGCAGGTCCATGTTCACATGGCTCTCTTGAGCAGGAGAAAGCACTGAAGAAGAGAGGAAGACAGAACACCAATTATTTTATTAGCTGTTTATGGTTCTTTGGAACACATATTATTTTGTTGTTCATCTTGTTTTTAGTAATTAGGTTAATGTTAGTGTTGGCAGCATTAGAAATCTAAGATATGCTTGATAATTTTTATACTAGATTAAACATTAAAGTTCAGCTGATTGTCTTGAATCAATTCATTGAATGATTGAAACAGACCCTCACAGCTGGAAGAGCCCTTAACAGCACTGTGGCCTAACTGCGTGGTCTGTACTTGTGTCTCCTGTACATTTTCAAGTGGCTTTTCAGCTTCTGGTTGCACACTCAAACAAATGCTTGTGAAAGGAAACTCAGTACCTTCAGGGGAAGTATATTCTATCTCTGAAACATCTCATCATTTTACAACAAGCCTTTACCTGTCTCCTTAGTTTTTTTTTTTTAATTAAAAAATTATTACTTAAAAATTTTTCAGTTTTTTAAATTATATTATTGTTGTACTGGAGTTACACTGTGACATTTACAAAAGTTCTTATGATGTGTTATAGTTGCATCAACCCTCCATCATTCTCCTTTAGCCTTCCTCCTCCCCATTCCCGGAATAGTTTCAACAGGTCTCATTTTCCCACTATCATACATGAGTACATAATATTTCTACTACATTCAGCCTCCTTCATCCTTTCCTTACATTCTCCCCTCTCCCACTGGTACCAGCTCCTAGACATGACCTGTTTCATTATTGCCCAAACATCATTGGTCAAAACACTCTAATTGTTCTGCATCTCCGTTGAAATGGCCCAAGTAAAGTAAATACTCCAGATGTGCTTCATCTGCCTAGAAATATTAATCACTTCCTTTTCTGTAGATGTTCTGATGCTTACACTAAAGACTAAAATCTGAGGATGTGGTGTGTGTATGTAGAGGGGTGGAAGGATGGAAGTGGTAGTAGGCTGCATTCCACCTTAATTCATATATAGCTTGTGGTCACCTATATCCTCTAAAAGATCTTTTTATAAAACTATTAGAGCTACTTTCTATATCTTTTCAAAATAATTTATAAACATTTAAACACTTGAACACTTTCTTTAGGAAAATACTGAACAGCAAAATGTGAACAACATTTGTTCATCTCTAGAGTTCTGTTGTATTTCAACTCCCTACAGTTTTTCAGAGATCACCAATAATAATTTGGCAATCTTGTTCAAAATTTCTCTTAGTCCTCTACATCTCAAATGCTAACTCTGAGTTCTTTCTACCACTTTACATGACCAAGATCTATTTACTAAATTCTCTCTGTCTTAGTTTCCTTCATAAAATGGGGTTAGTAGTACCTATACATCATGAGCTTGAATGGATTAATATATGTAAAATACAATTATTAGCATATGAAATATAGTACTTAATGTTCATATATATCAGAAACATAAGCAATAATTATTATCCTTTGACCTGCTATTTGTCCATGTTAAGCCTTAAGATTAATTATAGCTATAGGATACTTATAAAATAATTCCAGCAATCTTAAAAGCTCAATTTCCAGTTGCCAATATTCTTTGCTTTTCTGTGTGGAAATCCTTCTCTCTATCAGAGAATATAGAGTCATTTGGAAGAAGGGCTTTCTGGACTTAGGGAATATTTGATTTGGTGAGGCATCACTAACGCAGGAGGCAGGTTCACTTACAGGGTAGGGTGTCAACATCTGCCTGTAGCAGTGTATATAGTTATATACTGTCACTGCTGTACCCGTTCCTAGACTTTGAAAGTTCACATAAGGGCCAAGATAGGTAAACCAGATGTATAACCTAGAAGGTTAACTTTTCTTCTGTGGAATCAGACTCTAATAAATTAAAATAATATGGTGTCAACATAAAAAAGTGAATGTTATTCAAGGGAACTGATGCTTAAGGAGGAAAGGAAATGTAGCAGTGTAGATTTAAAATTATTATCAGCCTTAGTATCATCCTAGATTTTCACTAACTCAACTGCTGGAGCCTGGGTGTATGGCATTGTACTCTCCCTCTAATGCTAACATTATTCATGTTGTCTGACCACAGAGAAAGATCCCTACCTTAACAATGTTTCATGTGACAGGCTAGATGAAAGTAACTGTAAGTAACATTCTTAGAATATTTCAAAGCTTTTTAGGGCTTTTAAGTCCCTGGATTCCTTTGCTATGTAATACTAACTGTGGTATGGAGTCATCTATGCATCAACAAGAAGCAGAAATAAGTCTCTGAAATCTTACTCATGGTCTAAGATCCAAACCTATACTAATTGACCAAATTCTGTTAAAGACAATTTTGATTAAAATCCAATAAGAAAACAGAAAAAAAATTTGTCTCCTATTATACGAATATATAATTTCATCATATGGTAATTGATCACTGCCAAATTATAAATGCAAAAACAATCCAAGTAGAGTAAGTCAACAGCAAGTTGCAACTGCCAGGTAAAACTTACAATGAGCAAGGTAAGGGCAGTTTTGAATTGTGAATTTTATTGACTGTGATCTATACCAAAAACATTGGCATGTGATTAAGGCAACATAGAAATTGTGCCCAGAGTCCACCGAATAGCTGGCTTGTGAATTCCTAAGAGTTTACTGAAATTTACAAAGTTTTCTTAATAAGATGGAATATATTGAGCAAAGAAATGCTGAGCATGGGAAAAACAACATAAAATGATTAGCTTTCTCTTTAATATCAAATGGAGATCTAAGGAAAGGCAATGTTGACAGACTCTGCTTGGGAGAATTCAGTCAAGAAATGAGGTTACTGGATGTACACACACACACACACCCCCACACCCACACACATATATGTGCACATCAAGTGCATACATCCTTGTATATTGTATATTTATCTCATGGGCTGTTCCTTTAATTAGTACAGTCCTCAAGTATTGAGTTTTAAAAACATTAATAATTGGACCTAGGGATTTGACTCAAGTGGTAGAGCACTTGCCTAGCAAGCAAAGGTCCTAGGTTTAATACCCAGCACTACAAAAAAAAATTTAAAAAAATTAGCACTTGATCACTTTATTAAGATATACACTGTGAGCACTTTTTCTAATATTGGGGGTAGGTGATATCAGATCATTCATAATATCCTTGGTCCTATTTTGAATATTACATACAAACATGCATCTTTAAGACTCCCAGCTAGCCATTTGTGCCAAGGTAACTGTGGCTTTCTGTACTAAGTTGATTAGTCTATATAGGACGTTGGACCTTGGACTCTGGAGAGTGCACTGCTTTTTTTGGTGAAAGAATAGATATCTCCAATTCCTTTCTTATTTACTTCAGCCTCTGAAAAGTGCGCTGTTTTCAGAGTGCACTGTATTCCTAGTCCTGTTTATAGCTAGAAGTGGCCATGTGTCAGTCAGTCTGGCTAGTGATCCCCTAAGTATCTTCAGTGGCTTCTGGGAAGGTTTTTGTTTTTCCTGATAAAAAGAGAGTTTTAAGGCTGGTGCCCCTCCTTTCTCCCCTGTTCCCTTTTTCCTGACTTGAGTTAAAAAGATGCAGAATCAGAGAGGAAGACTTACTGTTGAACTGCTGATCAATACCAGCAACTGTCTACCATCAGATTTCTTGCTTTATTAGAAAACAAATACATCTTTAAACCACTGGAAATTAAAAAAATAATAACTTGCTGACAAGTTAAGTTCTGTTTTCAGCCTCTGAAGTTTTAAGTTCTAGTATCATATTCTGAGAGTAAAAACTTCTCTTCTTCCACTCTCTCACACCTTTGGTTCCATTAAACCTGCCATTCAACTTTAACTCTGCAATCCCTTCATTTTCTCCTGACAGATTAGGTTCCATTTAAGGGCCTCAGCATGAACTGATCCCGCTGAGCTACTCTTTTACCAGAATCCTCAATTCCCTTAAATCCTTCTCTTATATTATAACTGCCCTAAACCTCCATTTAATACTGGGTCAACTCTACAACTCATCCTTTGACAGGAAAACAAAACAAAATGAAAGTGCAGATTGTTGCCCCAAAAGTTCTGGATTTTAATCCCCCACCTCCATCTCAAAGCTTTTGATGCCACTCAACAGCCCTTTCACTAGTGCTTGATTAGCTCCCAACCGGTTCTCAGTGTGGTTCTGTATTCATGCTACTCTTTTTAGGCCCCTCTGTCTAACCACCTCCCTGTTACTTCTCTCCCAAAGACCTCAGGTTTTAATTCTCTCTCTTCAAGAGAATTGTTGACACTTTCTTTCTCCACAGTCCTACCTTTCATTTCTCTTTAGAGCGCCATAATCTGATTTCTGCCTTTATCTCTTTATTAAAAATTTTTTTAAGATTGATCAATGATATTCAAATCATCAAATCACTGGGTGATTTTCAGTTCTAATCTCATAAAAGCTCTCTGTTACATTTGACATCACTGATCATTTACTTCTTGAAATTATGTCTTTTTTTGGCTTATATAGCATCATACTCTTCTGGTATTTCCTTCACTGAATCCTCTTCCTTCAGTCTACCCACAAATGCTGGTGTTCCCACATGTACAGGAAAGCAATGCAAGTCAACTCCCTGTATAGCTATCCTTATCTCAACTAGCAAAAACCCTTGGTCCTTCCTATTATTGCTTATACTCTCTCTTCAACAAAATCAGAGATAAGGGTGAAATAGTTTCTGCCTGGCAGCAAGGAGGGGTGGAGGGGAGAGGGAGGGGACGGGGCAGGGGGAAAGAGAGAGGGCGGGGGGAAGGGGGGAGAAGTGACCCAAACATTGTATGCACATATGAATAAAAGAAAAAAAAATGCTGATGTTCCTGAGGTCTTTTTTTCCTCTGTTGGTATTCCTTATTTGCTATTATGTTCTGCATGAGCTCATCCATTTTCATTGTTTGTACTTCTGTATAGGAAATGGTGACTCCTAAATTTCATTTGATCAACTGTTTGCAAGATGTCGCCAACTGTACATAACTAAACATGTTTTTGTTCTTTGGCATCTGTTCTTTATTCTGAATTCCCTTCCTACCAGAGACATATTG